AGAGCACCCAAAGGAAACCCATGCAGACACGAGGAGAAAGTGCAAACTCCACACACACAGTTGCCCGAGGGTGGAATCGAACTCAGGTCCCTGGCACTGTGAGGCAGCAGTGCTAACCCACTGAGCCACCGTGCCAGCCAATACGTAATGTGATCAGCAGGATTGGGAATTGCAGTGGAGAAAAATGAAAGGTGGGCAAGGGAAAGTAAGAAAAAGTATACATGAAAGTGGAGAGCAGCAGAAACAAGCTCAAGTCAAATTGCAGAATTGTGTTAAAAAGGCAAAATTAAAAACACTATCTGATGCATGCAGTATTTACAACAAGGCAGTTGAATTGAAGTCGCTAGCAGATGTGAATCGATATGATTTAACTGTTAACATGGAGACAAGATAACCAAGATCGGCAAGTACATATTAAAGGATATTTGACTTATAAGAGGGATAGGCAGAAAGGAAACAGAGGTGGGGTAGCGTTGTTAATAAGGGATGGGATCAATGTATGAGTGAGAGCTGATCTCTGATTGGAAGAATGGGATATAGAATCCGTTTAAGTAGAGCTAAAAAGAACAAGGAACAGCAAATGTTGGTAGGAGTGTGTTATAGGCTGCCAAGAAGTAATGTAGGGAACGTTGCAAATCAGAAAGTTAAAGCTACATGTCTCGAAGGTAATGTAATAATCACGGATGACTTAAATCAACATATTGACTGGGTAAATCGAATGAGCGCCAGTGTTATGGAGTAAAAGTTCCTGTGTTCAAGATAGATTCAGGACACTAATTAATAATTTTGTTAAGGGAATCTTTAGGGTCTAGTGACTGTTCAATCTGAAACACTGGACTTAAATCTAAACAAGGGCAATTGTGAAGGTATAAGGAGGACGTTGGCTGTGGTGGAGTGGAAAAAGATATTAAAAAGTTTGACAGTAGATGGGCAATGGCTGCTATTTAAAAATTAATGCTAGTGTTCAAAAACATGCATTTCTTTAAGGCAAAAATACTGAACAGGAAAAGCAAGGGAGCCATGAATAACAAGGAATGTTAAAGATAATATTCTATACAAGAGGAAGGCTTGTGAAGTAATGGAGAAAAGTAAATAGCTTGGTGATTGGGAGGACTTTAGAATTCAGCAATGGAGAATCAAGAAATGGATAATGAAACGGAGAATAGAATATGAATGTGAAATAACAAAAAAAACATAAAAATGGATGGTAAAAACTTCTGTACGTATTTACAAAAAGAAAGGATTAGCAAAGTCAAATGTGCATCCATTACATTGCAGAGACAGGAAGACTTTTGATAGGAAATGATGAAATGGGGAGAAGCTAAATTAGTTCCTTGTCTCATAGGAAAATGCATGGAGTATCCATAAAATAGTTAAAATACAGGGCTTGAGTGACTGTGTGGAATTTTACTCCGGTCAAATACTGGAATCTATTAAAAAGAATATACAATGACTAGATTTTTAGAAAATTATTGTCTCATTGGACAGAGTCCAGTCAACAACCTTTTTGAGGAGGAAATTATGTTTTAACACATGCGATAGGAGTTCTTTGAGTTTGTTGCTAGCATACTTGATAAAATGGAAACAATGGACTTGGTGTAGTTGAATTTTGAGAGGTTTTTGACACCGCCCCACACAGGAAATTAGCAAAGAAAATTTAAACACGTGGGTTTGAGGGTAATATAATAGCATGGATTGAGGGGTGGTTGACAAGTGGAGAGGAGCAATAAATCAGTCATTCTCAGTTCGCACATTATGACTAATGGTGTAGCACAAGGATCAGTGCTAGGCCCAAGCTTTTCACAATTCATATAAATGATTTGGGTGTGGAGAAAAAATGTAATTTTTACAAATTTACAGATGATAGAAAACATGGGAAGTGAGTTGTGAGAAAGATGCAAAGAGACTTCAAAGTGATTTCGACTCATTGGCAGTCCCTTGCAGACGAGGATGACTCTCTTCCACTGTCAGGGTGAGTCTGTAGGTGGCTGTACAGACCGATGCGGCTACCGCAGGCTCTGTTGTACTTGGGGCAGGTGGGGGTCACGGGAAGAGGTGGGTGGGGGTCACGGGAAGAGGTGGGTGGGGCATGTGATTGGGCAAGAGCATGGCAGATAGAATATATGGAAGGAACAAAGGCGCAGATTATTTCTTCAAAGTTGAGAGATTGGAACGTGTTGATATCCAAAAGCACCTCAGGGTCCTTGTTCTTAAGTAACTGAAAGCTAACATTTATATGCAGCAAGCAACTCATGAGGCAAACAATATATTAGCCTTTATTGCAAAAGGGCTTGAGTACAGGAACAAAGAAGTCTTGCTTTGATCGTATGGAGCAATGATGAAATCACACCAGGAGTATTGCATGCTGTTCTGATCCACTTCTCTAAGGAAAAATATACTTGCAATAAAGGGAGTGCAGCAGAGGTTCACCAGATTGATGCCTGGAATGGTGGGACTTGGCCGTGAGGAGAGATGACGGAGCCTGGGGCTGTATTTTCTTGAATTTCAAAGAATGACAGATGACCTAATGGAAAATTGCAAAATTTTTAAAGGGGTAGAGTAGGTATAGAATGATTTCCTTGGCTGTGGGGTCTAGAAGCATGAAACACTGTCACAGAATAAAAGACAAGCTATTTCGGACTGAGATGAGAAGGAACCTCTTCACTCTGAGAGCATAGACCATAAGATATAGGAGAGAAGTCGGCTGTTCAGCCCATTGAGACTATTCAATGAGATCATGGCTGATCTGATAACCCTCAACTCCAATTTTCTGTCTTTTCTCAGAATCAGAAAATTGTTGCAAGGTAGAGGAGGCTACTTGGCCCTTTGTGCCTGCACCTTGATTCTTTTACTGATTAAAAATCTGTCTGTATTAGGCATGAAGATATTTAATGGCTCAACCTCTATAGCCCTCTGCGGTGAAGAATTCCAGTTGATCCACTGAGAAGAAATTCCTCCTTATTGCAATCTTAAATGAGCGACCCTTTATTCTGAGATTATGCCCTATGGTCCTAGACTCTCCTAGAAGGGGAAATAACCTCTCCTGAAGCCCTCTAAGAGTCTTGTATGTTTCAAAAAGGTCTCCTCTCAACTCCAATTTGTACAGAGCCAATCTACTCAACCTCTCCTCATAAGGCAGTCTGTTCATCTTAGTGAACCTTCACTGGATTGCCTCCAATGCTGGTATATCTTTCCTTTTGAAGCTGATGAAAACTGTTTACATATTCCAGATGTGGTCTGACTAGTACCTTGTATAGTTTTAGTAAAGCCTTCCTAGTTCTAATCTTTGAAATAAAGGTCAACATTCCATTTGTGTTCCCTATAACCTGCTGTACCTCTGAATTAGATTTTTGTGACTTATGCGCAAGGACCCCTAAGTCCCTCCATACTACAGCTTTCTATAGACTTTTTCTATTCAAATAATATTTAAATCCTTTGTTCCTGCCAAAGTGCATAACCACAGTTTTTTCCCACATTGCATCTGCCAAGTGTTTGCAAACTTGCTTATCCTATCTTTATCCATCTGTAGGCTGTTTGTGTCATCCACAAACTTGGCTATAGTACATTCAGTTTCCTCATCCAAGTCTATAATTTATAGTATAAATAATTGTGGTCCTGGCACTGCACTAGTTACCACTTCATTCAAGAGAGTGATGAGTCTTTGGAATTCTTCACCCCAATAGACTGTGGAAACTCAGTCATTGAGTAAATTCAAGTCAGAGATTGATAGATTTCTGTACGTCAAGAGCAATAGTGGTAGGAGTAGAGTGGGAATATCATTTTCTGAAGAAGGGTCCAGACCCGTAACTTCAGCTTTCCTGCTCCTCTGATGCTGCTTGGCCTGCTGTGTTCATCCAGCTCTACACCTTGTTATCTCGTGGGAATATAGTGTTGGGATTTGCTGATCAGCCGTGACCTAGAATGGCAGGCCAGGTTTGAGGGGCTGATTTGGCCTGCTAGCTCTCCATTACAGCAGCTGAACTAGTCCCATACTCTCACCTTTTCCTTTAACTCTGCATTTTTTTTCAGGTTATTATTCAATTCCTATTTGAGGACCATAATTGAATCTGCCTCCACCACGGCCTCAGGCAGCACATTTCAGATTCTATCCATTTACCCTTTAAAAGTGTTTTTTGCTTTCAGTCAGTAACGGCTGACATCAGCTCATGTGAACTTTATGTCCCTTCAATTTGCACGCCTGTATTTAAACAGGTTCAGGTCCTGGTTTAACCAGGATGCAATTGTGACCTGGTTTTGGGGGTTGGGGGAGGAACAGGAGATGCCCCTTCCCACATCCTCTCCTCTATCCTGCGTACCGGGTCCTGACTTATCTCGTCCCAAGTCCTCCCTCTGTCCCCCCCTCCTCACTCTGTCGCCCCTCCTCACTCCTCACTCTGTCGCCCCTCCTCACTGTCCCCACTCCTCACTCCTCACTGTCCCCACTCCTCACTCTGTCCCCCCTCCTCACTCTGTCCCCCCTCCTCAGTCCTCACTCTGTCCCCCGCCCAGTCCTCAGATTGCTGTCCCGCATCCTCGCTCTGCCTCCTTCTCACGCCCTCACTCGTTTGCCCTCACTCCCCGTGCCGTGTCCTCACTCCCCTCCTTCCCCTATCCTCGCCCTCCCCACCGAACCCCCACCCCCCCACCCCCCCCCTCCCCAGTCCTCACTCCTCTCTCCTCACTTTTAATACTCACTATGTTTTCTAGTTAGTGCTGCCACTTTTTATCCTCACTGTTCTCTAGGCATTGCTTTTTTTATATATCCTCACTGAGTTCTCTCACCAGTGCTGGATTTTGTTTTTATCCTCAGTTACCTCCAGTCATTGAAGTTGTTTTGTTTTAATCATCTTTGCGTTCTTAAGTCACTACTGTTCTCACTTCTGGTTTGTTTCATGAATCTGGTATGCAACAATTGATTTGAAATGATCATATTAGATATTGGTAATTTACCTTGTTGCAGTTTTTTTGAAATAGCATGTTCTCCTTGTGCTGTCTGGCAGGGCCATGAGATGACCAGCATTGGATTGCTCCTGGGAATTTCAGCTGCAAAACTGGGCACAATGGATATATCAGTCACGCGTCTCCTGAGTATTCATATCCCTGCACTGCTGCCTCCTACCTCAACTGAACTGGATGTCCCTCACAACTTACAGGTTGCAGCGGTGATGGGTATAGGACTTGTATATCAAGGAACTGCACACCGACACATTGCTGAAGTACTTCTGACTGAAATAGGTGAGGCATCTTCAGCTCTGAGCTCACCTACCAGAGAAGTTTAGCAGCTGGTTTCACTCCAGTAAGCTTTCATCTGTCAAGAAGTTGTCTGTGTCCTTGCATTTCAAGTTTTATTTTCTTTAATCTTTCAAGGAACATAGATGTCATTGGCAAGGCCAGCATTTATTGCCTGTCCCTTATTGCTCTTGAACTGAGTGGTTTGCTGGGTCTTTAGAGTTATAGAGTCCTACAGCAGGAAACAGACTCTTCGGTCCAACCAGTCCATGCTGACCATAATCCCAAACTAAACTAGTCCCATCTGCCTGCGCTTGGCCCAAATCCCTCCAAACATTTGTTATTCATGTATTTATCTAAATGTCTTTTAAACGTTGTAACTCTACCTGCAAATACCACTTCCTCTGGAAATTCATTCCACACATGAGCCACTCTCTGTTAAAGAAATTGCTTCTCGTGTCTTTTTTAAATCTTTCTCCTCTTATCTTAAAAATGTGCCTCCTAGTCTTGAAATCCCCCATCCTAGGGAAAAGACACTTGCCTATTCACTTTATCTGTACTCCTCATGATTTTATAAACCTGTATAAGTCACCCCTGAACCTCCTGCACTCCAATGAAAAAGTCCCAGTCTAGCCGCTCCTTATAATTCAAGCTCTCCATTCCTGGCAACGTTCTGGTAAATCTTTTCTGAACCCTCTACAGCTTAATTATTTCCTTCCTATAAGAAGGAGACCAGAACTGGACACACTACTCCAGTTAAGAGTCAACCACATTGCTGTGGATCCAGTGTCATCAGGTATGGTCTTAGGATAGGTGCTTGTACTGACGCAAATTTATTTTCCAGATTTATTCTGAACTCAAATTCCACTAACAGCATTGGTGGGATCAGAAGCCCGATGTCCAGAGCATTAGGCATAGGCTGTGAGCTTATGAGTTCAGTGACTTTACTGATGCCAACCACCCCAGCAAACTGAGGCATATAAATAACAAGTTATGTCTGCCACCACCTCCCCGATCTCCTAATTCAATATGGTGTTCTGGTAAAAGTACAGTATGGGTGATACATTGTGCAAAGTGGTGTACTTTGAATGAACTGTTGAACCGAGATTCTCTTTCCACAAAAGACTGAAGGGATACACATCAAAATCAAGCAAAGTAAAATAATCTTGGTTACCACCCAAAATCTTGAATTCTGTTCCCCTGCTCCCACTCATCAAAAGGAAATTTACAGTCAGTTATTTTCATGTAAGAATGTAAAGTATGTAAGAGTTATTTTGGAATGAAGAGGCAATGTTGGACTGAGTGTAGCACACCATTTGAGTTGATGAGAAAATGGAAATTCTGGATGGTAAATTTCATTTAATCTAATGAAAATATGACTTTTTTAAAATATAATGGGCTGCCCAAAAGTGTACACCTAATTATACACAGTTTTATGCATTTTTAAAAATTCATTTGTGGGATGTGGGTGTTGCTGGCCAGTCCCTTGAGAAGGTGGTGGTGAGCTGCCTTCTTGAACCGCTGCAGTCCACCTGCTGTGGATTGACCCACAATACCCTTAGGGAGGGAATTCCAGGATTTTGACCCAGCGATGGTAAGGAACAGCGATATATTTCCAAGTCAGGATGGTGAGAGGCTTGAATTGAATTAAATTGAATCAACTTTATTGTCACATGTACTCAAATGAACACTGAAAAATTTACGGTTGCCACGTTACAGCGCCATCTTGGATACAAAGGTACCTAGCTACAGATACTTAATACGAAATTCTTAGGAAACAAGAAACAATTAGAAAATTAAAGTGGCTGGAGGGGAACTTGAAAGTGGTGGTGTTCGCATGTATCTGCTGCCGTTGTCCTTCTAGATGGAAGTGGTCGTGCATTTGAAAGGTGCTTTCTGAGAATCTTTGGTGAATTTCTGCAATTTAAAGTTTTTGAGAAGGTTTGTAGCTCGGGTTATGGATGAGGTTGTAGACCTGCTCACTGAGCCGGTGTGTTTGATTGCAGATGTTTCATCACCCTGCTAGGTAACATCATCAGTGCGCCTCCGGTGAGGTGTTGGTGTTCTGTCCCGCTTGTTATTTATATGCCTTGGTTTGCTGGGGTGGTTGGCATCACTTCTGGTTCTGTTTTTCAGTGGTTTGTATATCTGTTCTAGTTCAATGTGTTTGTTGATGGAGTTCCGGTTGGAATACCAGGCCTCCAGGAATACCCTGGCATGTCTCTGTTTGGCTTGTGCTCTTATGGATGTGTTGTCCCAGTCGACGGAGAACTGGACCCGATATACAAACCACTGAGAAACAGAACCGGAAGTGATGCCAACCACCCCAACAAACTGAGGCATATAAATAACAAGCGGGACAGAACACCAACGCTTCACCGGAGGCGCACTGACGATGTTACCTAGCAGGGTGACGAAATGTGTGCAATCAGACATACCAGCTTGGCGAGGAAATCTACAACTGAATTTCTGCAGTGAATCTTAGTACACACTGCTGCTACTGAGCGTCGGTAGTGGAGGGAGAGGATGCTAGTGGATGTTGTGCCAATTAAACGGGCTGCTTTGTCCTGGATGGTGTCAAGTTCCTTGAGTGTTGTTGGGGCTGCACCCATCCAGGCAAGTGGGGAGTATTCCATCACACTCCTGACTTGTACCTTGTAGATGGTGGACAGGCTTTAGGGAGTCAGGAGGTGAGTTACTCGCATCAGTATTCCTAGCCTCTGACCTGCTATTGTAGCCATTGTGATTCTGTGGCAAGTCCAGATGAGTTTTTGGTCAGTGGTAACTCCCAGGATATTGATACTACGGGATTCAGTAATGGTAACATCATTGACTGTCACGGAGTTAGATTTATTGGTGATGGTCATAACCTGGCACTTGTGTGGTGCAAATGTTACTTACCCAGGGTTGGGTTGACAAGTGGTATTGTCCAGATCTTGATGCATGTGAACATGGACTGCTTCAGTATCTGAGGAGTCGGGAATGGTGCTGAACATTGTGCAATCATCGGCGAGCACCCCCAGTTCTGACCTTATGAAGGAGGGAAGGTCATCGATGAAGCAGCTGAAGATGGTTGGGTCGAGGACATTACCCTGAGGAACTCCTGCAGAAATGTCCTGGAGCTGAGATGACTGACCTCCAACAACCACAGCCATCTTCCCAGGTGTCAGGTATGACTCCACCCAGGGGAGGGTTTGCCCCCGATGCCCATTGTTTCCAGTTTTGCTGGGGCTCCTTGATACCACAATCGGCAGAGCCCTAACTGGGTTTCACTGAACAGGTGCTGCTTGATAGCGCTATGACACCTTCCATCACTTTACTAATGATCGAGAGTAGACTTATGGGGCGGGTAGATGCCAGTGTTGTAACTATTGGAAGAGCATGTCTAGGGGAGCAGCAAGTTCTGGAGCACAAGTCTTCAGTACTGTTGCTGGAATGTTGTCGGGGCCCGTAGCTGTTGTAGTATTCAGTGTCTCCAACCGTTTCTTGATATCACGTGGAGTGAATCGAATTGGCTGAAGACTGGTATCTGTAATGCTGGGGACCACTGGAGGAGGCCGAGGTGGATCATCTACTCGGTACTTCTGCCTGAAGATTACCGTGAATGCCTCAGCCTTTTGCACTGATGTGCTGGGCTATTCGATCATTGAGGATGGGGATATTTGTGAAGCCCTTCCTTCTCCAGGGAGTTGTTCAATTGTTGATCACCATTCACAACTGGATGTGACAGGACTGCAGAGCTTAGATCTGATCCGTTGGTTGTGGGATCGCTTAGCTCTGCTGTCACTTACTGCTTTCGCTGTTTGGCGTGCAAGTCGTCCTGTTTGGTGGCTTCACCAAGTTGAAACCTCATCTTCAGGTATGCATGGTGCTGCTCCTGAAATACCCTCCTGCACTCTCCATTGAACTAGGGTTGATCCCCTGGCTTGAAGGTAATGGTTGAGTGGGGGATATGATAGGCCATTAAGTTAAAGATTGAATTAAAATATGCTTCTGCTGCTGTCAATGGCTCACCGCCTCAGGATTGCTCAGTCTTGAGTTGCTGGATCTATTCAAAGTCTGTCCCATTTAGCACAGTGATAGTGCCAGACAATATGGTAGAAGATATTCTGAATGTGAAGGTGGGGACTTCATCTCCACAAGGATTGCATTGTGGTCACTCTTACCGATACCGTCATGGACAGATGCATCTGCAGAAGGCAGATTAATAAGGATAAGATCAAGTAAGCTTTTCCCTCTTGTTGGTTCTTTCGCCATAAGCTGCAGACACAGTCTAGCAGCTACGTCCTTTAGGACCCAACCAGCTCGATCAGTAATACTGCTGCTGAGCCATTTTTGATGGTGGATGTTGAAATCCCCTGCCCAGAGTATATTCTGTGCCATTGCCCTCGTTCGTGTTTCCTCCAAGTGTTGTTTAACATGGAGGAGTACTGATTCAACAGCCAAAGGGGAATGGTACATGATAATCAGCAACAGGCTTCCTTGCCCATGTTTGAATCGAAGCCATGAGACTTCATGGAGTCTGGAGTCAATGTTGAGGACTCTCAGAGCAACACCCTCCCAATTGTGTACCACTGTGCTGCTACCTCTGCTGGATCTATCTTTCCAGTGGGAAAGGACATATCCAGGGTGGTGTCTGCGACATTGTCTGTAAGGTATGGTTCTGAGAGTCTGACTATTTCAGGCTCTTGCTTGACTAGTCTGTGAGACAGCTCTCCCAATTTTGGCACTAATCCCCAGATGCTAGTAAAGAGGACTCTGCAGGGTTGACCGGGCTGTTTCTGGTGTTGTCTTTTCTGGTGCCTAGGTCAATGCCGGGTGATCCGTCCGGTGTCATTCCTTTGAGACTTTGTAGCGATGGATACAACTGAGTGGCTTGCGAGGCCATTTCAGAGGGCAATTGAGAGTCCACCACATCGCTGTGAGTCTGGAGTCTAATGTAGGCCAGAACATACAAAGAGACAGATTTCCTTCCCTGGAGGACCATAGTCGACCTGATAGGTTTTCCTGAGAATCGACAGTAGTCATCATTAAACTCTTAATTCCAGATACTTTTTTATTGAATTCAAATTGTAGAATTCGAACATGGTGGGATTGGAACCCAGGTCTCCAGAACATTGTCTGAGTTTCTGGTTTAATAGCCTTACAATAGTACCACTCGTCCATGCAGAACTGTTGTTTGAGCAGCAAGTGGTCATGGCCTGGATTCTGCTGTGTAAAGGATTGTGGAAGCAGAAATGATCAGCAGTTTCAAAAGGAAATTGGATGGGCACTTGAGGGAGATAAAATGACGGGATGGCGTCTCAAAATGGGATTGACAGGATTGCTCTTGATAGACAGCATGGGCTGAGTAATGTCCTTGTTGCTGTTATGACTCTGTCACTCTCTATCACTGTTGAACCTTTTTGAGACTTTGGTATGTTGAGCCAGTAATCCCTCGCATGAGACCCGAAGTGAAATTTATGGAGGAGGTTCTATATGAGAGCCTTCAGCTCAATGTAGAAGTGTGATCATTGCAACGTGAGATTGAAGGAAGTAATCTGGAGGTTCAAGCCCACTTTGTAGTAATGCATGAATCTGTGGCAGAGTATTGGGGCTCTTGTGACCCAGCGGTAGTGTCCCTCTCTCTGGGCCAGGAGGCCTACCTGCTCTAGAGGCATGTAGTCACATCCCTGAACAAGCTGATTAGGAAATATCCAGCAGAGTATGTTTTGTGATCTTGGTACTGGCTGTGAATGTGTTTTTTTTTTCATTTTTGATAAGCTGCAAGTGTTTTAACTCCTTGTCTGATCTTAAGAGTAAAACAGGCAAAGGAAAGCGTCCTTTGACTCTAATTAGCATAAAATTGACATTCCTAACAGGATCTTAAGGGATGTTGAAGGGTTACAGGATGATAAATACTGATAGATCATTTCTGCTGATGTAACAAAGCATTAGGAGCAAACAAATTTTTAAAAATCGCAAAGAATTGAAGCAAAGGTGAAAAGCCAAACCTGTAATTTTCTGCCGCAAAGTGCTGTTGCAATAATCGCTATAAACTCCTGTTTGGAACAGCGTAATATTGAAGGACATTAGAAATGAGCAGAATGGAGAGAGTAAGTTAAAGAGTTCCAATGATCAATCTGAATGATGTGTTTTTATATTGGAATATTCTGCATTCCAGTAGCAGCCAATATTTGTCATTGACACAGTCTACTTCAGCAGCACTGCCCGCATCCCCCTCCACCCCTTCCACAGAAGGCACTATTTCTGTCTGTAGCTGAGGAGAATTTGGAATTAAATCTTGTTGAATTCACAGGAAAAATAAAATTAGGGGAGGACGAGTTTGCAATTATCATAGTATGTAAAAACATCCCTTGGGAATCACAAAGTGTTTCACATTTGAAAGAATTGGATTTGGAATTATGATCTAATAGACTACAAATGCAACAACACAGTAAGATCCCACACAGAGCAAATTAAATAAATGACACTGCCTCATAGAATCCCTACAGTGTGGAAACAGGCCCTTCAGCCCAACAAGTCCACATCAACTCTCCAAGCATCCTGCGTAATCCACCTAATCTACACATCCCTGAACACTATGGGCAATTTCCCATGGCCAATCCACCAAGCGTGCACATCTTTGGTGCTGTGGGGGGAAACCAGAGCACCTGGAGGAAACCCATGCAGACACGGGTTTCTGATGAGAACTTCCTGCACTATTTCTAACATGAACGTTCAGACTAGATTTCTGTTGGACTCCGAGTGCTGCAGTCTCAGCAACACTCTGGCAATGCAGCAGTGAAATATTATCCTAGATTATCTGCTGAAATCCTGATTGGAAATGATTTAGAAATTACTGAGCTTGAAGGTATTGTCTCTAGTGATTTTGCTGTACAATTCCTTTTTTACTTCAAGAATCAGAAGCTGCCAATTTTCACCTGCCAGTAATGATTTGTCCTAGAAATACCAACTGAGGAAAACAAGTTCACAGTAGAAATTAAGGAACATCTATAATTCTGCAAACCATTTCTCAACTGAATAGCGAAATTTTGCAAAAGTTGACAATCCGAAATAAAAAGCAGCAAGCAAAGTCTTTCCAGTTGTGACTTAATTGCACATTGCAATCACATCCTGTTTCCTCTGTTTAGGTCGCCCACCAGGCCCTGAGATGGAGAACTGTACTGATAGGGAATCGTACTCACTGGCTTCTGGTCTTGCTCTTGGCATGGTCTGTCTTGGGGTAAGTATCAGCTGCACAGATGATTCTTTTCAGTTATCTGCATTTTCTACAAAACGGATTTAACCACTTGAAACCCTAGTTTTGTTTCCGCCTTCAAGCTGCCTCAGGTTATTGACGTGCTAAGGGGCTGTTGTAGAGTCATTACAGCACGGAAACAGACCCTTCAGTCCAACCGGTTCATGCTGACTATGTTGTGAAACTAAACTAGCCCCACCTGCCTGCACTTGGTCCATATCCGTTTAAACCTTTCCTATTCATGAACTTAACCGAATGTCTTTTAAACGCAACTGTACCTGCGTCCATCACTTTCTCTGGCAGTTTATTCCACACACAAACCAGTCACTGTGTAAAAAAAAAACAAAGTTGCCCCTCCTGTCCTTTTTAAATGTTTCTCCTGTCACCTTAAAAATATGCCCCCTAGTTTTGAACTCCCTCATCTTAGCAAAAAGGCCCTTGGCGTTCGCCTTATCGATACCCCTTTTGATTTTATAAACCTCAATAAGGTCACCCCTCAACCTCGTACACTCCAATGAAAAAGATCCAAGTCTTTCCAGTCTATTTTTATACCTCAAATCCTCCATTCCAGCAACATCCCATATTGCATTATTGTCAAAGAACAGCAGTGAAGTTTCCATGTCTCCTGGCCAATACTTCTCACCAATTAATGTCAATAATACAGATGATCTGGTCATTATCAGATTGCTGCTTGTAGAAGCTTGCTGTGCACAAATTAACTGCTGTTGTTTCTAAATTGGAACAGGCATTATGGTTCAAAGGATCCTTCATAGACTGCAAACAGTTTGGAACATTATGGCACTGGGAACTGGTCAGATATTATCAGAGGATGTTAAGTAACTACATCAAGTAGAAGCAAGTGAAAGACAGACTTGCATTTATAGTGCCATTAATGATCACCTGACATGTCAAAATGCTTTGCAGATAATGAATCACTTTAAAAGATTGATCCCATTTTGGTAAATTTTAGTGCATATTCAATGCCTCTACAGGTTAAGATTAACCACTGCACAGTCCTAGTAGAGACAAAGTCCCACCTTCACATTGAGAACACCCTCCATCATGTTATTTACACGGTGAAAGTATACATGGAACAGACTCCAAACAGATCTAGCAACTCAAGACTGGGGGCCATCGACAGCAGTAGAAGTATATTCCAATTCAATCTATAACTTAATGACTTGGTACATCTCCCCACTCAACCATTACCATCAAGTCAGGGGATCAACCCTGGTTCAATGGAGAGTGCATGAGGGCATGCCAGGAGCAGCACCTGCCATACCTAAATATGACATGTCAACCTGATGAAGCCACCAAACAGGACTACTTGCATGTCGAACAGCATAAGCAGCAAGTGACAGACAGAGCTAAGTGATCCCACTGCCAATGGATCAGAGGCTGTTGAGAAGTTCAGAGTGAGCTTAATTCTGACTTTGCCTCGTGTCTGCACCCAGCACAGATTGCTAGATGGCAGTCAAGAGCAGGACTGTTGCTGACTGTTGCTGAGGTTTATCACATGTCATAACATCTTGCAGCACAGGCCGAAGGCATTCAGAAGGCTCCATGAAAAGACTATAAGATATCGGAGCAGAATTAGTCCGTCTAGTATGCTCTGCTGACCATGGTTGATATAGTTCTCAACCCTTGCCTTCTTTCTGTAACCTTTGATCCCCTTAGAAATCAAGAATCTGTCTATCTCTGTTATCCAAATTATCCAATTCATCCTATTGCCCTGCTGTATCCCTCAGTCTTGCACATTGTTCTCTTCACGTATTTATCCAGTTTCCCTTTGAAAGTTATTATTGATCTTGTATCTATCAATCTCTCGGGCAGTGCATTCAGCAATCTGCCAAGCCTCCGAAAACAGCGCCTTCAACCTATGACCTCTACCGCCAAGAAGAACAAGGATAGCAGAAACGTGAGGACACCACCACCTGCAAGTTCCCTTCAAAGCACATGCTATCCTGACATAAAACTACACAATTTTCTGAAGAAGGGTCTAGGCCCGAAACGTCAGCCTTCCTGCTCCTCTGATGCCGCTTGGCCTGCTATGTTCAAACAGCTCTACACCTTGTTATCCCTAAAACTACATTGCCATTTCTTCACTGTTGGTGGTCAGTATCCTAGACCTCCCTTCCTCACAGTGCTCTTGGTGTACTCACACCCCAGGAACTGCAGTGATTCAAGAAGCATAAAAACTGGGAGCGGGAGTAGGCCTTTTGGCCCTTCAAGCTTGCTAACCCATTCAATCTGATTATGGCTGAGCCTCTGTCCCAGTGCCATATTCCTGCTATCTCTCCAGACCCTTTCATTCCTTTAAGAAGGCAGCTCACTTGCCACCAAGGGCAACTGGAGATTGGTAAGCAGTGCCGTATTGGATTCTCTTAAATTTAGTATATTAGGGGATAATTTGATTGAAGTGTTCAAGAAAATAAAACATGGCCGGTAGGTGACATGAGGAGAAACAATTGCCACTGGTTGGGGAACCTATGACTGGGAGGTATAATCTCAACCCAGACTTATCAAGGGCAGCAGATGTTTGGAACTGTCTTCCACAAATGGCTAGTCATGCTAGATCAGCCAAAAATTTTAAATCTGAGACTGGTCAAGACAAATCTAAGCTGTTGAGGGATATAGAGCAAAGGAAGTTTTATGTAACTTAAGTCATAGACCAACCATGATCTCATTGAATTGCAGAACATATTTGAGGGGCCAAGTTCCCACCACCTGTTTCAATGTTCCAATAGATAGTCATGTGTTTAAACTTTTCACTGTAATTTTACTCTCCAGATTGAAGAACTCAATCTGAGTTTGTGTCTTTTTTTTTAAGGAGAAAAGTGGGGGGGCGATTGCATTCTGTACACTGATTTAATTTAATATGCAACTCCTACTTTTAATGACCTTGATTTGTTTTCAAGGGATATATTTAGTCTTAACATCTACATGGAGCTATTGGGCTCAATTTGCTGTATGTGCCATACAATACAATACAATGTAACATCATGGTACATCAGCACAGAATAGGTTGGGCAGAATAAGATATCAAAACAGATAAGAGAGCATTCCGGGTTTGGGATATATCATACCAGAAATGTTCCCCTGAGGTTGAGAACTGACCTGCCTAATATTTCCACCATTATCGCTTCTATTTCTCCATTTCTAGTGGCATACCTACAGTTTTCCATACGCTGTTTATGCAAATAAAATACAATAACTGAGAAATTTTAATTTCAAAATCAAATAATTGACTGTACCACTGACGTTTCTTTTCTGTGTATTTTTAATTCTATTTTTTTGCAAGAAAATGTATTTTTGAAATCACAGGGGAGCTATTTCAAATTAGTGCTGAAAACTTTTGCGTTAACAGGAAGCAGATGCTGATGGCAGTGGAGAAGGCTCCATCAGGGAAACAGTGATTGATATTTCCAGGGTCATGCATTCAATATCTGAGAGAAAGTATTTGGCATTATAGCATTTGTTTGTGATGGCAGCCTCTATGGCTCAAGGACTTTGTAGCATTCAAAGCGATCTTGTTGAATCAAACTACCAAAGAGATTTTAATTTGGATAAATGAGAGGTGAGGCAGTAGCTTCCGTAATGAAGGCATAAAATGAGCAAGTGCAGAAACATCAATGATAGCTGCACAATTTTCTTCGGATGTGACCGGTAAGCGTGTAGCTGGTATCAACAAAATTACAAATAGTTCTTTATGGATCAAGGAGGGGATTTGACAACTTGTGAAAGATATTATTGATCTTAAACAGAAAGTGCTGGGAAATCTAGCAAGCCTTAAGAGACAGGAGGGATGGAAAGGTGATGGAGCAACACACAATAAGCGAGGAAATAAGAGCAGTTTTGAGAAGCACATCTGCAGAGAGAAAAACAAACTTAACATTTCGAGTCCATTGACCCTT